GGGCCTGCACCGCGGCCCACAGCTGGCGGCCCAGCGGCTCCTCCGCGGTGCCCAGCGGCGCCAGGAACAGCAGCTGCTCGTACTTGGCGCGAATCCACGACTCGCGCTCCTCCCTGCAAGGCCAGGAGTCAACAGGGGGGCTCTGGGGATCTCTGTCCCCTAGCCGGGAGACCCTCTCGGGACCCGCACGCCCCCGGCCACCCTCCCCCGCGCTCACCGCGAAGAGTCCCGCGTGGGCTTAGCGCGGCCCCGCGTGTCGCTCTCCCACACGCGGTTGGCCATATCGTTGCCGATGGCCGTCAGCACCAGGGTCAGCTCCCGCGGCCAGTCGTCCAGGTCCAGCGAGCGCACGCGGGACAGGTGCGTGCCCAGGTTGCGGTGGATGCCGGAACACTCGATGCAGATGAGTGCGCCCAGGTTCAAGCTGGCCCACGTGGGGTCTGGGGACACGGCGCACAGGTTGGCTCCCGGCCAGGCCGCACGGGACACACCAGCATGCATCCGCGAACCCTAACCTCGCCGGAGATGCCACCGCCCAGGTCCCTCTGCTGCCCCTTGCACTCACTGGGAGCCCCGCAGTCCACGCAGATGGAGTTCCCCTTGGCGTTCCGGATCGCCTGGATGGCCACGGCTTCGCTTTGGCTGTCTGTGCGCAGCTGCAGAGAGAGAGTGAGCGTGGCTCCGACCTCCCTCGGAGCCCTCCCCTTCCCCAGACGCCCCTGTTCTCCTCCTCCCATCCGCCCACTGCCAAGCCCTTACCTTGACCTTGCTGCTCTCACAGCATTGCAGACTGGCTAGGATCTGACTTTCGATGGCCTGGACCCAGGCGTCCCGCTCCTCAAAACTGGCAGCCTCAAAGTGCCACGTCTGGCCGGTGCTGGACACGATCAGGAACTCAAAGTTTTCCTCTGGGTGGGGGGATGGGATGGGGTCAGGAGGGACGGAGTTCAAGCAGGGGCTGCCTTCCCCCAACCCGCCCTCCCTGGTGTCCCTCCCGAGCCCCTGGGAGTGGGCAGTGGGGGTGGGGGAAGCAGAGGACGGGGGACAGCAGGAAGCCCGAGCACATGCAGGGAAAAGCAGGGCACCCCCACCCCTCTGCACCCCAGCTGAGCGCCCCTCCCGGCTCCCCGCTTGTTACCTGCTTTATAAATATTTCTTAAACTACCAAAGGATTTTAGTTTCCACATTTTGCGCTTGGCTGGTTTCCCGAAGCGAAGGAGATAGATAGAATGGAGAGCAGGACAGAGAAAGACCAAGAAAGAAGAAAGAAGGAGAAACAGGAGGAGAGATAGAGACAGTGACAGAGTGCCAGAGACGAAGCAGGACAGACAGATGGGGAGAGAAAGCAGAACTAAAGTCAGTGGCCCCGGAGCAGAGCGGAGCAGAAGCCAAGAGCCATGAGAGTAGGCAGATCTGGAGCCTGGGTCTGAGCACCCGGCAGAAAGCAGGGGCGGTGGGGATGGGTTATCATGGCCACTGAGGAGCTGGGTCTCTGGGAAGAAGAGGGAGGGTCGGGATCTGAGTGAGTGGGCATGGGGGGAGGGGCCAGCAGATGGGTGACCGGGCTGGGATGAGGGGGCAGGGGCAGGGGTCACTGGGAGACGGGAATGGGGAGCTGTAGTCAAGGGCTACGGGGGAAGCCTGGTGATCACTGAAAGCTCTTGGGAGCTGGGGCTAGGTGGTCACAGAGTCCAGGAGCTGGGGAGTCGGTGAGGGACGCTGAGAGCAGTGGCTGAGTCCCTGGGGGCAGGGAGGCTTCTGAGTGCAGCGGCTGGGGTGGGGTGGTAAGTGGAACTGAGGGAAGCAACAGGAACTGGAGGGTCATGAGAGGGAGCAGGGGCGAGACATATGGGTGCCACTGAGAACAGGGGCTGGAAACGACTGGGGGAAAAGTCATCGGCTGGGGAACAGGGAAAAAAGGAGAGGGCCTGAGTATGTCCATCCACTTTGTCACTAGGTCCTGTGCACTGGTAATGGTAGCCAAGCACAGCTCAGACACTTCTCCTCCTGCTGCAGAGCTGGGCCAGGACCTGATGTTGGGATGGGGGCCAGGGTGGGAGTGGAGCCGTCACCAGGGCCTCACCTTCCGCCTGCCCGGCCGAGCCTTCGGTCTTGGACGGTGTCGTCAGTTTTTTCCTCCTCTGCTTCTTCACCATGGGAGAAGGAGGGGGTTCCCGACTCAGGGGGCTCAGGTCTCCAGATGGGGTACAGTCTTAGGGAGGAGGACACAGCTGCCTCAGCTGTCCCCTCCACAGATGTCCTGATGTCTCCATAGCCTGCCTCCTCCCCTGAACTAGCCTGGCATTTTAGGGTGTCCCTCCTCAACTGTCCCTCTCCAGGAGTTCTCCCTGGGTCATTCCTAGGGCAGGGGGGAGGTGAGCGGTTTAGAGTCAGACCTGCACTCAGATCCTGGCTCTGCCACTTACTGGCCTTGAGACCTCGAGCAAGTCACTTAATCTTCTGAGCCTCAGTTTCTTCATCCCTAAAATGGGGATAATAATCTTGACCTGGCAAGGTTATTGTGAAGATTATATTTTACAGTCTTACTTGCTATTCAATGCATACACAGATATACATACATATTTAATATATGCACAAGTATCTATGTATATATCTATAAATATATATGTATTTCTATTTTTTTTTTGAGTTGGAGTCTCATTGTCGCCCAGGCTGGAGTGCAGTGGCATGCTTATGGCCACCACAGCCTTGCTCTGCTGAACTCAGGTGATCCTTCCGCCTCAGCCTTCCAAGTAGCTGGAACCACAGGCACGCACCACCACACCGGGCTAATTTTTTGATTTATTGTAGAGACGAGGTCTCACTAAGTTGCCCAAGCTGGTCTTGAACCCCCCCTGGACTCAGGCAATCCTCTTGCCTCTGTCTCCCAAAGTGCTGGGATTACAGGCATGAGCCACTGCACCTGGCCAATATATATGTATTTCAAACATGCTGAACATGATGGCTGTCTGTGTACTGGATAATGTTCTCTATTTAAACCTCAAAGCAATCCTTGGAGGTAGAGGCTATTATCTCCCTTCTACAGATGAGGAAACTGAGGCACGAGGAGGCTAAGGAACTTGCCCATGTGGCAAGCCCAGGATTGGAGCCTGGCAGTTGGCTCTAAAACCCCCTTGTGTTAGCCATTATGACAAGGTATGACTTAGGCTGGACCTAGGGCCCAGTGGGTGGGTATTCCCATGGGGGGCTCCATGTGTTCACTCACGAAATTATTCCATCCTCCAAGCCTCCACCCCAAACTTATTTCCCACCACATCCCGTTTGGATCTGGAAGTCAGTGGAGGAAGCGTGATCCCCACTGACCGGTGCTGAGGGCTCGGGCCAAATTCCGGTCTGGCTTCAGCAGGTGCTTGGATGTCTGGTCTTGTGGTGGTTGCAGGGAACTGGGGCTGGGCTGGGGCTTGGCACAGGAGTAGTGGCATCTGCCAGGAAGAGATGAAGCCTCCGCGAGCCTGTCTCCTGGCCCCGTGCCCTGTTCAGCCCCTCATCATCACCCACCTCTGCATGTCCAGCACCAGTCCCCACTTCCCTCCTGCCCCTCCCCAGCCCTGGCCTCTCCCCTGCCTCCCTGCCACGAGCCCCGCTCACCAAGGCCTTCACCCATCTGGACGGTGCTCATGTCCTTGACCAGCCCATTAATGCTGGCGGAGGGGCCAAAGGCAGAGATGGCCCTCGGGGGCCGCTTGCCGGGGACTTTGACCGTTGTGCGCAGCAAGTCCATCTCTTTGCCGTGGGTGCTGTGGATGTAGTCCTGGAGGGGAACAGGGCCAAGAGCAGAGGGAAGGCTGGGGCGCTCGGTGGTGCCGGGAAGCAGTCAATGGTATGGCATGAAGAGGGACTGGGAGGGGGCCCTGGAAGCTCGTCGGGTTGGGATGAGCATCTGGAGGATGGGCCCATCAAACTTGGCCCAGCAGTGTTTCCTCCAGAAAGTTCCCGGAATGGCAGGCCAGAGAGAGGGCTTTTCTGGGTGCTCCCTCACGAGACTGCAAGTTCCTGGGGAGATGCCATGACCCGTACATTCCTGGCATGGACACATGGTGGGTTCTTAATACAAGCTTGCTCAACTTAAGAGAACAGGACTGGTTGGGCGTGATGGCTCAAGTCTGTAATCCCAGTGCTTCGGGAGGCTGAGATGTGGGGATTGCCTGAGCCCATGGGTTCAAGACCAGCCTGGGCAACTTGGCAAGACCTCATCTCTACAATAAATTCAAAAAAAAAAATTAACTGGGCATGATGGTGCGTACCGCAAGTTCCAGCTACTTGGAAGGCTGAGGTGGAAGGATCGCCTGAACCCAGTAGGTCGAGGCTGCGGTGGCCGTGAGGGTACCACTGCACTCCAGCCTGGGCGACAGAGTGAGATTCCGACTCAAAAAATAAAAAGAAAAAGGTAGTGCTTCCCAGAAATGTGATGCTTGTCAGAGGCACAGACAGGTAGAGCTGGAAGGGTGCCCAAAGCTGGCCAGAGAGGCCCAGGCATTGCCACTCACATTAATGCTGGGGTGGTAGAGTAGGAAGCCATTACTAGACAGGGTCACGTATTTCTTCTTCCATTCTTTGTTCAAGGAATTGCCACTTCGCTTTAACAGGAAGCTCTGGAGTGTGGAAAGATACGTGTGGGAGAAAAGCCAGCTGAGATCAGCTGTCCTCAGCCCGCTCCAGCCCAGATCCTCACCTGTTTGATGGGGATGGCTCGCCCACTCCCTGTCATCTCTCCTCGGCTGTCCAAACTCCGTTTCTCAGAGTCACTGCCCCGACGATTCTGGAATGATTATTGGAACCAGAGAGAAGGATAGGTAGAGGGCTACATTGATGGAAGGACAGGGAAGAAAGAAAAAGAAAGGCCCAACAGAGAAGTCGGGGGACTAGGGGAGAAGGGCAGGGGACAGGGGACAAGAGGGTGGGGCTCAGCATGTCTAGTACCGCAAACAGGCTGGTCCTGCGCTTGGCCGCCCGGTGCAGAGACCCTGGGGTGCTCAATCCAGCTACTGCCACTGCCTCAGCTCGGAGCTCCCGGTGACCAACGTTGGGTGAGGACGGGAGGGAAGAAGAGTAATCACTGGTGTGGCCCCCGTTACTAGCCTGGGTGCGTATGAAAGAGTCAGAGCAGAGCTGAGGTACCCCCACCCCACCAAGCTACACTTGCATCTAGTTATGGGGACTCTGAGACATTCCTTGATCTTCTCATCATGTACTTCTATTATTATTAATCAAAAATCGACCGGGCATGGTGGCTCATACCATCACTTTGGGAGGCGGAGGCGAGAGGATTGCCTGAGTCCAGGGGTTCGAGACCAGCCTGGGCAACTTGGCAAGACCTTGTCTCTACAATAAATCCAAAAAAAATTAGTAGGGCGTGGGGGCGCATGCCTGTGGTTCCAACTACTTGGAAGGCTGAGGCAGAAGGATCACCTGAGTCCAGCAGGTGGAGACTGTGGTGGCCATGGGCATGTCATTGCACTCCAGCATGGGCGACAGTGAGATTCTGACTCAAAAATAATAGTAATAATAATTAAAAATCCTTGGCCGGGCTTGGTGACTGAGCCTGTAATCTCAGCATTTTGGAAGATCGAGACAAGTGGATTGTCTGAGCCCACAGGTTCGAGACAAGTCCGGGAAACTTGGCGAGACCTCATCTCTACAATAAATCAAAAAATGAACCGGGCATGGTAGTATACGCCTGTAGTTTCCATTACTTAGAAGGCTGAGGCAGAAGGATTGCCAGAACCCAGCAGTTCGACACTGGGATGGCCATGAGTGTGCCATGGCACTCCAGCCTGGGAGGCAGAGTGAGACTCCAACTCAAAAAAAAAAAAATCCTCACAGTGCTTTCCCAAGATTGACCGCACAAATATTACCCCACATAGTCTTACTGATAACCTTGGTAGGTTAGATGAGTCGCTTAAGGACACTGCCAGTGGTTTCCCAAACCTGACTTCCAGTCCCAGGTACCCTCTACAAATATCTGCTTGTTTCCCTGCTCTCCCAGCCTTCTGGTTTGCTCTGTATCTGTCCTTGGATCCCTAGCCCTTCACCTGCATCTTATCAGCCCCTCTGTGGACTCTGAGATCCCAACTCACCTGCCCGGCTACGGGGGTGGAAGCAGCTGAGTGACTTGGGGAGCTGGGCAGGGACTTGCAGGCGGCCAGGAGCTGTTGCTGTTTGCGCAAAGTCACCACCTTCTGGGCCACTGAGAGGAGTAGAGGGGAAGGAGGTGTGAGCAGGTTGGATATCCAAAACCACCCTTCCATGCCCAGCTTGGAGACATCCCCAGTAGATAACACACGCCCCACTGCCTTGTCACCGGGGCCTTCATGCCACGTGCGGCCCCACCAGCTCCACCTGCCCAGAAGGACCTTGTAACTAGGAAGCAACCTCTGGCCTCCCTGATTTCTCCTCCCTCCTACAGAGACAAGTGCCCTGTCCCTCACAGAGAGAGAGGCCTGTATTCCTGACCTCCACAAACACCCCAGGCCCCTAGCTCCTGGCTCCCCACATGTGCTGGAGATCACCACACTCACCCTCTTGGAAGACCCGATCCACGTTGAGCCCATAGGTTGCACAAGTCTCATAGTAGCTGCAGCGTTTCATGTCCGTGCACAGAGCCCTGGCACGAGCATCGCCCACCACCCGAGGGGAGGAAGCACTGATCCTGTCTGAGGGGACAGGAAAGGGGCAGGTTTGGACAAGGGGTCCCTTCCCCGCTTTTCATGATTCCCTTTTCCTTGTGCTCCAGGCTCAGCGTGAGCCCACTAGGGACAGCGTGTGACCAAGTGGACAGGGAGTGTACAAGCCCTTCTTTCTGAGTGCTGGGCCAGCTCACGTGCCCAGCAGCCTGTGAGTAGGCTGGGTGACTCTGTGTATGTGTCTTCAAAGAGTACTCCAAATGAGTGGCGCTTCCTGACAAGGTCACACACGAGTGATAACCACCCTACCCTGCAAATCCACTGAGCCCTGACTTGGCAGGAAGACACCAGCGTGTGAACTAGGAAAAGGCTGGATGTTCATGGGTCACAAGGGGACCGCTCACTTTGCAGCAAGAGATCAGCAACAGGTGAGGCACACACCTATAGAACAGGCAAGCAGAGTCCCTCCAGCTTGACACAGGCGGGTCCTGGCCCCGGTAGAGTCTGAGGGCCTCTGAGTCACTACCTTGAGAACTAGAAGGGTCTCTGCCTTCCTGTTCCCTCCTCATTTCCTTTGTGTTTTCTCTTGGTTTTTAGATAAGTTCCTTTAAAAGGCATCAGCCTGACCCAGCTGTAGCAAAGGGAAGATGGAAAAGGGTTTCTATCCACGTCAGGATGAGATTTTCTGTGTGTCCCATGGTGGTGGCCCTGGGAAGTGGCAGTGTGGGAACAGAAGGTAAGTGACATCTCAGGAGAGAAAAGGTGGCTACCAAAGCTGTCCTTTCCTCCCTGGGGTCCCCTTTCTCTGCTCAGACCTTGGGAAGTTTGTGTTTGATTTCCTGATTCCCTTATTTGGAGACCAGGCTCACCCCAGAAGAGACTGGAATCCAGGTGGCCATTTCCACATCTCACCAAGCTCTCACGCATGGTGGGCAATACCCCGGTGTCTTCCTCAGGGCCTGCCCTGAAAGCAGTGCTTCCCCACCCCACCCCCTTACCTTGTGTCCCCACCAGTGCCAAGGCCAGGCCTCCTCGTCCCTCCCCCCGCAGGGAACTCAGCTGCCCATGGAGACGGCTCACAGCCTGGAAACTGTTCTCATCCTCCAGGCTGAAGACGAAGATCACAGCATCTGCCCAGCCTGAGAACTTGCGTGGGGTGAGGGAGCAAGCACAGAATCAGACAGGTCCACTCCTCGGCACGCCACCCAGGGAGAGACCGGGGAAACCGCGCCCCCTCCCTTGGCCAGGGCCAGCCCCAGGCAGGCCGCCTTGCCCCTCACCTTGGCATCAGGTGCCCCAGCCTCCTCTCGGATTAGCACCAGATGAGTCTGCCCATCCACCAACATCTCTTTCTTGTACTGCTCACCTGTCCAGAAGAGTTGGAAGGGTAAGAGGTCAGAGATGACAAGTCACCAAACCTCCCCATACTCCTCGTCCTTAGCAACCATGGCCTTATCGTCCATTGGTCTTACTCCTGGATCCCTGACCCCCGTCTGCAGCTGACTAGGACTCCTGAAAACTCACTCTCCGTCTTCTCCAGCACCTGGTATGAGCCTGTCAGGAATCGGTGAATGAGCGATGACTTCCCACTCCTGGCGTCGCCCAGCACACCCTGAGGGCAGTCATGGAGCAGATATGGCAGAAATTAGAGAAGGCAGGATGCTTGGGTCTGCACAGTCCAGACAGCCCAAAGGTACTGGCATGTTAAATCATCCAAGCAGGGCCCAACAGGGCCTGGACGATAGGAGAGAGCAGTTGGGAGGATCAGGACACACATGTGGTAAGAACTGATCCCAGGCTTGAAGTGGACCACAAGCTGAAGAGTGCCAGAAATTTAGTGCCAGTTTTGTATGTATGTTGCATTGTTTAAGAAACATACTAGCCGTGCGTGGTGGCTCACGCCTGTGATCCCAGCACTTTGAGAGGTCGAGGTGAGAAGACTGCCTGAGCCCAGGGGTCTGAGGCCACAACTTGGCAAGACCTCGTCTCTACAATAAATCAAAAAATTAGCTGGGTGCAGTGGTACGTGCCTGTGGTTCCAGCTCTTGGAAGGCTGAGGCAGAAGGATCGCCTAAGCCCAGCAGGTTGAGGCTGCAGTAGCTGTGAGCGTGCCACTGCACTCCAGCCAGGGTGACAGAGTGAGACTCTGACTCCAAAAATCAAAAGGAAATATACTAGACCTGTGTGTACATGTCACAGCACTAGGCTCTCGGAAAGTTTTGCCCAGTTCTAGGCAGTAGAACGTGAAGGCCAAAGGGCAGATGTCAGAAATGAGAAGCCCGCAAGAGGAGTACAGACACTCAAGAAAAGGGGAAGAGAGCATCAAGACTAGAGAGGAAAAAAGTTGTGAGGATGCAGCCTCAGGATGGTGCTATGAAGGCAGACTGTCAGGAGAACTGGAAGATGGCTTCCCATTCTGAGGGAGAGAGAGAGAGAGAGAGAGAGAGAGAGAGAGAGAGGAGAGAGAGAGACACGAAGGGAGAGCGTTGAGAGAAGCGAGAGCGTTGAGAGTGAGCGGCCGGGAGGTCCGCCTTCCCTGCAGGCAAGGGGCCCGGGTTACCTACCAGGCGCAGTTCAGGAATCGAGCGGCTCAGAGTCCATTCCTGGCTATTGACCACAGCCTCTGTAACGGGAGAAGGGCAGTAAGAGGGGAGGCTCCCGCTCCCCTCCTGCCCCTGTGGCTTCCCCTAGCCCCCAGCCCCTGCGTGGCTGCGGAGGCGTGTGGCACACACGGGTCCGAGAGTGGTCCCCAGTTCTCCCATCCCAGCCCTCTCCCCACAGCTGTTGCCGCCGCTCAGCGGTTGCTTAGCAACGAGCCAGCGAGACAAAAATACTTCAGTCGGCATCTCCCTGCAAGCACCTCCCCAAACGTGGGCCTCTGTCTGCCCCAGACAGGGAGACCGGGGCCCTGACAGCGGCAGGTGGTTTCCCCTGGAAGGGGAGTATCAGAGGGGCTCCTCCCCGACCTCCTGCTTCCCAGGGCAGATCCCGGGAGGAGGTGCCAGAACGCAGAAGAGAGCCGGTCTTCCTCAGTCTCCATGTCACAGGACAGAAACTGAGGTGAGGGCTTTCCCTCCCGTTCTCAAGGTCAACGGCCCGGGGCCCCGAGCCCTCCCCACGGCCCCCGGGAGAGAGCTGGGATCCTCCTAAGCCTCCCTCTCCCCGCCCGCGGGCGCCCTCCTGGAGAACCGCGGGAAGGGCTCCATCCCCGGGCCCAGGGAAGCCGCAGGCGGGGGAGA